GCCGATATTTATGTGTGCGAGGTAGTGGCATGGCATGGAGTGCTTGTATCAGTAGTATCAGATCGAGACGTCCAGTTCACTTCCATGTTCTGGAAGCGGTTTCATGATGAGATGGGGACTCGTCTTCATTTTAGCACCATTTTCCACCCTCAGACAGACGGGCAGAGTGAGAGGATGATTCAAACTCTCGAGGACAGGCTTCGGGCATGTGTCCTAGATTTCGGTGGTAGTTGGGATACGTATCTTCCATTAGCGGAATTTTCGTATAACAACAGTTACCACGCTAGCATTGACCGCCCTCATTTCAAGATGCTCTATGGGAGGAAGTGTAGGACCCCGATTTGTTCGGGTGAGGTCGGTTAGCGAGTCATCGGGAGCACTGAGGTGGTGCTCAAGACTACAGAGTTGATCCAGCAAGTACGTAGTAGACTGTAGACTGTACAGATTCAACAGAAGAGTTACACCGACAGGAGGTGTTCGGACCTGGAGTTTCAGGTGGGCGATATGGTCCTCCTGAAGGTATCACCCTGGAAGGGTGTCATCGAATTCTGGAAGCGGGGCAAGCTAGGCCCCAGATTCATTGGTCCGTTTAGGGTTTTTGCCTGGGTGGGCCGGGTTGCTTACCGTTTGGATCTTCCAGCAGAGCTCATCCAGATCCACAACAATTTTCATGTTTCTCAGTTGCGAAAGTATTTGGTGGACGAGTCAGTAGTTGTACCATTGGCGGATATTCAGGTTGATAGTAGACTGAATTACTTCGAGAGACCCATTGCGATTTTGGATCGGAAGACGAAGGCCTTGAGGAACAAGGTGGTTCAGCTAGTGAAGGTGCAGTGGTAGCACATGAAGGGTTCAGAGTGGACGTGGGAGTCCGAGGAGGAAATACGGGAGCATTACCCTAAGTTGTTTTCAGATTCGGTAGCAGCAGACTTTGAGGACGAAGTCTTATTCAAGTGTGGGTGAATTGTAATGCCCGTCTCTTGAGATATTGGTTATTTAAAATTTTCTTAAATTCTTGTTGGACTTAATACGGAAAGAATAGAATATTGTTTTGGGCTTATGCAATTCGGCTAAGTATTGGGTAGCCCATAAGACGTACGTTGGGCATAGCCTGGATGTATGCGGGGCGTAATGGTCTATGATGGAAGCAGGGACGCGCACACTTACGCGCAGGGTACCACTAGGTATGCTCAACGTAAGTGAGCATATAAGAAAACCCTAATTTAAGTGTTTAAGACCTATATAAACCCCATGGTAGCCTCCCTCTGGATTCTTACCAGCCTCCTCACCCCCACAGAAACCCTAATATGTCCTCACCTTCTCTTTTGTGTGATTTTGCTCCTTGTAAGGGTTTTAGTGAGAAAGAAGTTGTGAAGAAGGAAAGCAAAGGTTGGAGAAGAAGCTTGAGCTCAGGGATCCGGTCTAGACTCACTCTTTCTCACCAAAAGAAGGTATAAAGTGTTGAACTTTCTTCCTTATATGCTAGATCTAGAGTTATTGAAGTTTTGGACCTTTTTAGGTCCAAAGGTTGGACCTTGATCATGGATTTTCATTTTTGAGCTTAGGATTGCCATGATTTGGGCTCAAAGCACCTCATTAGCAATAAAAGTTTAGATCTTGGAGGTTTGCATGAGGCCATTCAATAGATCTAGTCATTTCTTTGGAGTTAGGATATTGCTTTTTGAAGTTTGAGCCTTTATGAGTTACCCAAGCCATCAAGTAAGCAACTTTATGGATTAGGTCAGAGAATAAGTCATGGATCCAAATTTGTAGCTTCTGAATCGAAGGATCAAGAAGTTAATAAGAAGGTAGCTTAACTGGGCTGTAGGCTGGGCGTACAAGCCAACAGCCAGTATGCCCAGCGTACCTTGGGGTACGCACTTCATATGCGATCAGTTTGGGCTTCGAGCTTTTAGGCCTCGGTTTGGGCTGTGCGTTGGACTTAGAATCTTTGGGCCTTTGGAGTCATCTGAAGTCGGTGAATATGGGCCTTGTTTAGGTGTTGGGCTTAGAGTAAGGCCCAATAAAGAGATTTAGGCCCAATCTAGAAAATGGGTGCCATTAGTGAGCCTTTAGTGGGCCATTGGAGGACTTAGAAGGAGTTGAGGGTTTGGTCCATGTTTGTGACCCACACCATAACAGGGGTAAAATGGTTATTTTACCCCAAGGTTTGATATCGGTATTTGATTTTGTATTTATGGGATTTGTAGCCGAGAAATTTTGGAGCGACAGTCAGACAGTTTCAGATTTAGCATCTCAGCAGCCAGCGTTAGGAGGTGAGTTTTCCTTCTAGTAGTAACGGGTCTACGGCCACAATGCCGACCTGTTTAGTTAGTGGTATTTCCGGACTATGGTCCGATGCAGTAGTTAGAGTGCTTTATGTCTTTGTGATTCAAGCCTGTTTTGTGTATGTGTTCCGAACATTGGTCCGATGCAATATGCAGTATATGTTTCATGCTAGTTGATATGTTTACGTTGTGCTATGTTCAGTTAGTTTCCGGACTTCAGTCCGATGCAGGGGATAAGGTCCCAGTTAGTTCCAGACTTCGGTCCGATGCAGAGGGCAAGGCCCTGGTCAGTTCTGGACTTCGGTCCGATGCAGTTTCCAGACTTCGGTCCGATGCAGAGGGCAAGGCCCTAGTTAGTTCCGGACTTCGGTTCGATGCCCGTTCCGTACTACGGTCCGATGCAGTGGGCAAGGCCCAATAATTGTTTATTTGTTATTGTATGGTATGTGGTAGTTTGGGGGAGCTCACTAAGCTTTTTGCTTACAGTTTTAGTTTTGGTTTTAGGTACTTACGTAAGCAAAGAGAAGAGTTGGGGTTGATGGCATCGCACACACCACGACTTCAGTTTTATCCTGGGAGTTTTATTCAGATATTTTGATATGATTGATACACTTTTTTTGACACCGTTACTATGACTTTTGAGTTATTCATTCCATGGTTTTTATTATATATGGCATTCGGTGATGTGGTTTTTAGTAATATTAAAACAAAAAATTTTGGGTCGTATTCTGGGTTGTTACAAAAACCTTCGAATTCTCCTTTCCAAACGTGCTCTTCTCTGCTCTTATGTCCCCCAAAATGACTAAATTCTCGACATAAGGAAAATAGGAAAAACTGCCAAAAAGTAGTTTTTAAGTCGAACACAGACCATGTCGATATAGAGTAAATCAACACGGGTTGTGTTGAGTGAAAATACACCCTTTAATCCTCGATTCCCACTCTTAAGTATGATGCTCAAAAGTGTTCATCTGGACCAACATGCCCCATGTCCAAATAGGCTAAATGAACACGGGTCGTGTTCAGTGAAGTAAAAGCGCCTGGAATGGTCAAACACGCCTCGTGTTGGATTTCTAGGCCAAACCCAACACACCCCATGTATCCCTCTGATTCCTAATCCAAACATGATTTTTCCAACTCTTTCGTTCTTCACCCGATCATCCTGAAATCTTCACCAATGCTTCCCGGCACCTCCCAAAGTGCGTGCCAACCTCCGGTTTACCTAAAAAAGACATGAAAATGTGCAAATAAGATTGTTCTAGAGACTAACATGAAATATGATGAAATGCAATACAAATGAAGGACAATTATGCTAAATGTGTGCATGAAATGGGTCTAAAAGGTGTGCAAAAAGGTGCACAAATTGCACCTAACAAATCTCCCCAAGCTTAGACCTTTCTTGTCCCCAAGAAAGAACAAGAATCAGACAAAACAAGATGATTTCTAGATGGCAAAACGAAATATAGAGCAAAAAGGGATAGAAGGATCCTAAAGGCTAGGAATGAATGCATGCAATGAAAACCATGAAAAAGGAAAAAAAATGTACAGAAGCACTAAAGAAAACAAAATGTATCAAAAAATAAATTAAGGCACAAGTAAATAATCTATATAAGTATGATCAGACTTTACATCAATATGGCTCCAAGCATTAATACATAAGCAACCATCCTGCTTCATTCCATGTATCATAGACTCCCAAAGTAAGGAAGATCCGAAACGGTGTAACACAATAATCCAACACGAGTTTTATTAAAACTTTATACCTTACTATGATTTATGGGAAAAAATAACATAGTCCGGATCTCATGTCCTTAAGACTAGATGGCCAGGAATCAGAATCAACGCATCATTAAGAACCCGTCACGGCAAATCAGCTTTCGCTGAAACAGCGAGCCTACCCGAAGGGGCCCAGCTCCTATGCTTTCACTTTTTCAAGAGCCACAAGTATCATATCATATTGTTCTAAATTCACCATATTTGACTTTGAATTGGCTTTTGATTTGATTGAACTTTGATGTGTACTTCATTTTGAACTTGGATTCTTCAATCTTCATTTTTGGAATTTCTTGAGATTTCTTTGTTTTGGCACTTGAAATTAAGATTTGGGTGCTAGATATGATAGTTGTACCCTTTCTTCTTTTTTGACTGTATGGATCTGATACTTAAGCTCTCTGTTACCGCGGGGTAATGCATGTCAACAAATAGGTCCGTGTTTTGTGGGTGCAGAGTTGTCGATAAAGATTCTTTTTATACATTCAGAAGCAAATCATCCTAAAGCTATCATTACCGCCTAAAAACGTTTCAATATAAATTCTTCTTATTATCTAAGGCTAGGGTCTCGAATTACGGTGTTTGGGTCCCCTAGTTATGATAGGTAATTCTACACTTCCGGTAACATTCCGGTTGCTTCGGTATATTTTTTTTTCATTTTGATTTTTCGTTTCCCACTTCATGGAGCTATTGTATGTAAAGAATGTCATCATCTCGTAATCTTTTTTCTTTTTCTTTTTTAATTTTTTTTTTAATTTTAAGGCATGATGATGATGCATGAAAATGGTTAAAAAATAAAATGAAAAAGATTGAATGCAAAAACTTGAAATATTTTTTTTTAAAGAAAGGTATGCATGAGTATGAAATGCACCTAATGTACAACTCTACTCCTCCCCAAGCTTAAAGATAAGCATCGTCCCCGATGCTTGGAGAGGGCAGAACAACCTATTGCGGAGGAGGAGGAGGAGGATAAGGATAGTAATCGGAGTTTCGGGTCCAAGCCCAAAAGACCTCCTCATGTTTAGGCTGGCGCTCTTGATCTCGGGTGTATTGAGTGGTGAAAGAAGAGAAACTTTGAGTTAGGTTCATGAGATCTTGATAGTAAGTATCGAGGAGGATATGGATCGACTGGAATTGATCCATATATTGTTGGTGATAGGATGGGTGCCCAGCCTGATGGGATGAGCTGGCACCACCCATGGGAGGATAATTTTGTGGTGCCGCCCCGCCACTCTCGTCACTGTCTCCATCTTCCTCCTTGGAGAAGGAATCGGGGAAGAGATACGGTGTGATTTTCCAGTCGGTAAAATTGTTGGGTCCCCTGAGGGCAAGGATATCCCGATTTTTTGGGGTGATGAGGAGCTGTGGATCGTGGTTTTGACCCACAGTCCAAATATGGTTCCCGTCCTCCACCCGAAACATTATCATAGACATAAGGATTCCCGGGGTAAGGTAGGTCTCATCGGGAAGAGGTTCGTGAATTTCGGGGTATGGGGCCCGGACTGGAGTGCTTTTGGCAAATAAACTAACAATGCCACCACAAGATATTTTTCCTGACCATGATGTGCTAAGGCGGATGAGTTTGTTACACATGAATGAGCCATAGCGAGGAATGAGATTATCATCCGAGTGGGGCCATAGCATAGAGTATTTAGAGCTCAAGGGCGCTAATGGTGCTTCTTTCTTCTCTAGGGATGACAAGTGAAGCAATAATCCTGTGGGCCACCTTCTTCATAGGGTGGATGAGAGATGAGGCCTTAGCAGAACTTGAGACATATGGAAGCTGACGCGTAAGATCGGTCCACCATGTAAGATCATTGTATCTTGGGATTAGATCATTGGGGCCAAAGGTGTGTTTAATGGGATCCCCAACTATGGCATTGATTTGGTCTAGGGACAAGGCATGATCTTGGTTCATAAGCCGGAAATGAAGGACACCGTGGTCTAAATAGACTGAAGACAAAAACTCGGTTATTAGAACTTTGTAGCTGAGCTCCTGGACCCTTAATAACCCTTGCCATCCAATGTTTCGGAACAAGGTGTGGACTTGGTTGTAGATGTGAACTTGAGGAGAGATGGCACATGTACAAACTGTTGGGTTGTATGTGCGCATTGGAGAAAGGCCTCAAGTTTGGCAGCTTGAATAGGGCTAAGACATACCATACCACCATGGGCCAGATTGGGTGGGGATTAAGGCGGGGGTGACGGGGACCTAGATGGCGGTGATGGGGTTCTACGATAATTGGCCGAGGCCTTAGTATGCCTCAGTAGTTTAGAATGCTCACCCTCCATGTGCTAAAGATTGGGCAAAGATGAAAAGTTAACCGGTTAACGGGTCAAAGAGTCAACTATTGACGAGTCTGGTTAACTAAAGTTTTGCCACAAAGAATTCGCGGGAAACCCAGTTTTGAATAATTTCCAAGTTATTGTCAAGTCCAAAATGACCATAGATACATGCAATTTGACCTACAAAACACAAATTCCACAAGTGAAGAATAGGAAAGAATGTACCGAATCTTTAGTGGAAATGTGTTGTAGTTGGTGAGAAGACCGTCTTCAACCTCCCCAAGCTTGTCTACATGAAGAAATAAGCACAAAAACACCAAAATTCTAAGAAATTTTCGGACCTAGGGTTTGTCAAAACCCCCAAATCCACCATGCGAATGTAATAAAATGGTGTATTAGATGTAGGAGATGAAGTGGGGGAGATGAAAATTAAACCTTTTTGAAGTTTTAAGCCAAAAGCGTGAAGAATCAGAGGATTTTTGATGAAAATCGGACCTTGGGGTTTTCTTGGGGGAAATGGGCTGTTTTAGAATGCGTGTGTGGAAGAATGGGGCAAAAACCCTATTGTTAGCATTAAAAACCACCAAGTCTGATGCGCGAACACGACCCGTGTTGGGCATAAGGGCAAATTGACACGTCCCGTTTTGGGCATAAAATGTGTGAGATTTGGCTGAACACGGCCCGTGTTGGTCATAAAGGAAAAATGGCATGGGTCGTGTACCTCTCTGACTGTGAGATTGCTTGTCATTGATGAACATGACCCGTGTTCATTGTAAGGCAAGAGGAACACGGCCCGTGTAGCTCTCTGACTGTGAATTCCACTTTTTGAACCAAAATTTTTTCCCTCTCATTCAAATGAAATGTTTTTGCATCCTAAGGTCCGTTTGGTGACTTTAAATCATATTTAAATGCATTTGGAACATTAAAAACAAAAAACTCAAAGATATGGAAATTGCATTTAAGGAAAAGACAGAAATACCCTCGAGTTGCCTCCCGTTAAGCTGCCCTTGTTTTAAGTTGTTGGCTCGACTATGCCCCCGAATATCTTTCAGTGTTTGTATGTGGGGTTCCCAACAACTTCTATCTCATCATTTTTCACCTCAAATCCTACGTAGAATGGATTTAATCAATGACCATTGACTTTGAATGTTTTTCCAGTTTGTTTGCTTGTTATTTCCACTGCAACATGGTCAAATACCCTTGTGACCATGAAAGGAACAACTCATCTTGATCTTAACTTCCTGAAATTAACTTGAACCTTGAATGGTAAAGAAGCAACTTTTTTCCTTGCACAAAAGTCTTCCGGGAGATCATTTTGTCATGGTACGCTTTTGTCTTCTCTTTATAAATCATTTTGCTTTCATACGCATCATTCCGAATCTCCTCTAACTCTTGAATGTCTAGCTTCCTTTTGTTTCCCACCTCATCTTCATTCATATTGAATTTCTTTATAGCCCAAAAAGCTTTATGCTCAAGCTCAACCGGAAGCTGGGATGCTTTTCCAAACACTAGCCTATATGGGGACATACCAATGGGGGGTTTTAAGGCGGTATGGTATGCCCATAAGGCATCATCTAGCCTTATGCTCCAATCTTTGCGGTTTGGGTTGGCTGTTTTCTCCAAGATGCTTTTGATTTTCCTGTTTGAGATCTCGGCTTGTCCATTGGTTTGGGGATGATAAGCTGTTGAGACTTTGTGTGTCACCCCATACTTCCTCAAAACAGCTTTGAGCATTCTATTGCAGAAATGGGTCGCGCAGTCATTTATGAGTGCCTTTGGTGTGCTGTACCTCAAGAAAATCTACCACAACTTTGGAATCATTAGTACGGGTGGCCTTAGCCTACACACATTTGGACACATAGTCCACTACCAATAAAATGTATGAACAACCAAAAGAGGGCGGAGATGGTCCCATAAAGTCAATACTCCATACATCAAATATCTCACACACTAAAATGTGAGTAAGGGGCATTTGATTCCTAGAGATTAAAGACCTGGATTTTTGGCACTTTTTGCAATGTGCGCAAAACACATAAGAATCATGAAATATAGAAGGCCAAAAGAATCCGCTATCTAAAACTTTCCTAGCTACCCTTTGGGGTCCAAAGTGACCACCACAAGCATAAGAATGGCAAAAATTAAGGATAGATTGTACCTCTTTTTGCTCAACACACACTCGGATCATTTGATCTGCACAATACTTACAAAGGTACGACTCGTCCTGTATATATCGCTTGCCCTCATTCTTGATTTTATCTTTTTGCTAATGGGATGAATCTGGGGGGAAATTGACTTGTGACCAAATAATTGACGACATCTGCATACCATGGTGCTTCTTTGGCTACAAATAGACACTCGTCTGCATACCATGGTGCTTAGATGATCCGCAACTAAATTCTCCTTTCCACTCTTGTCCTTGATCTTAATATCGAACTCTTGCAAAAGCAGCACCCACCGTACTAACCCCGACTTCGAATCTTTCTTTGTTATGGCTGCATGGTCCGAATATATGATTACTTTAGTTCTAAGGAGGTACTGTTAGAACTCTTTCTCCGTTGTGGTGTAGTTGCTTTGTGCACTATCCAAGGTCTTGGATGCATAGTAAATGACATGATTAGCTCGGTCAACCTTTTTTTTCCCAAGACCGCCCCAACCGCGGTATTGCTATCATCGCACATGATCTCGAATGGAAGATCCCAATTTGGTGGTTGAATAATGGGGGCGGATGTCAACAAGTCTTTCAAATGATCAAATGCCTTCTTACATTCATCACCAAACAAAAAATTTGCCTCCTTTTGTAGAAGTTGACACATCGACACCATGATTTTGGAAAAATCCTTAATAAACCGCCATTAAAAACCTGCATGACCAAGAAAAGAACGCACTTCCCGAACATTCGTCGGGTATGGTAAGCTCTTAATAACATCAATTTTGGCCTTGTCAACTTCTAAAGCTTTTTGTGACACCACATGTCCAAGTATCAAGCCCTTGTCAACCATAAAATGACATTATTCATAATTGAGGACTAAATATGTGTCAATGCACCTTTGTAAGATTTTGGTGAGATTTTGCAAACATTCCTTAAAAGAATTTCCATAAGCAGTAAAATCATCCATGAAAACCTCTATGATATTTTTGAAATATTCTAAAAATATGTTCACCATATATATTTGGAAAGTTGTGGATGCATTGCACAAGCCAAAAGGCATGCATCTATATGCAAAGGTGCCAAAGGGACATGTAAATGTGGTTTTCTCTTGGTCTTCCGGGGCAACAGGAATTTGGTGAAAACAAGAAAAACCATCAAGGCAGCAATAATGAGATTTCCCAGCTAATATTTCGAGCATTTGATCAATAAATGGCAAAGGGAAGTGGTCTTTGTGTGTGGAAGCATTCAACTTCCTATAACCGATACAAACCTTCCATCCATTTTGCACACGGGTGGGTACCAATTCCCCTTTGGAGTTTTTAAATACAGTGACTCCAGCCTTTTTCGGGACAACTTGCAGGGGACTTACCTACTTACTATCAGAAATGGGATAGATTACACATGCATTCAAGAGCTTCATGATCTCTTTTTTCACTGCCTCCATCATGGGTGGGTTCAATCTCCTTTGGGCTTCACGGGTTGGCTTGAAGTCATCTTCCATCAGTATTTTGTGCATGCATAATGATGGACTCAACCCTTTTATATCCACAATGGTCCAACCAATAGCCTCCTTGTACTTTTTCAAAATTTCAACCAACACTTTTTCTTCTTATTTTGCTAGCTTGGTTGAAATTATCACCGGTAATGTCTCTTCCTCTCCGAGAAAGGCATACTTGAGATGCTCAGGAAGATTTTTCAACTCAAGACTCGGTAGGTGTACTATGGATGGAAGGAGTTTCGGATCAGAGTTCTTGAGCTTCATGCAGGGTGGTTCAACCCTCATAGGTTGTGCTTTCTCCAAGGAGTTGATTGCTTCCATCAACTCATCCTCCAAGGGGTACTTATCAGCCAAATTCTTAATCCCTGTTTCATCAAAATGGTTGCTCAAGATGGTGGTTAGCGCATCTTGACTTGACAACTCGAAACAATCATTAGTACATGAATCAATAACATATATGAAGTTAAAGAATGAATATCACTAGGATAACGCATAGTTTCAAAGATATTAAAGTTCATCACCTCACCATCGAACTCCATAGACAAAGTACCATTTGCTACATCTATTTTTGTTTTTGCGGTACTCATGAAAGGTCTCCCCAAAAGGATGGAGTTTGATTGTGGGGTGTTGTCATCACCCATATCCAAAACATAAAAGTCAACAGGAAATACAAGTTCATTGACTTGCACTAACACATCCTCCAATACACCT